GGGTTATACCAATATTCTTGAAATGTCCATTAGTTTACAGTGTCCTGTTAAGAATCATGTTAGGATTCGTAGTTTTTTCCTGCTTCCCATAATACATTCTGTTACTTCTTTCTTTCCAAAATTTGTCAGGAGATTTTTGTTTATGTCCAATGAGAGAGATCTATTGTTCTCTCATTTTCTTTTTATCCTTCTGTCTGAGGACTCATTGATAGTGTGTGTTCCTATGCCACAGAAGGGTTCGGGTCCTATCAGCGATACAGCAGCTTTTTTTCTTGAAAAAGTATCCGATTTTTCATACCCTTCTACTCCCACATGTTCTGGGACCCAGCAGAGGTTGACTTTGTCCTGCATATTTAATATGTTTAGTTTGGTTTTGTAGTTCAGCACCTTCTTTGAACTAATAATGTTTGAACTTATTGATTCGATTGGCTATCTGACGATGTTCTTATTTTTGTATCCTTTTGAATTGGGTACATCTATCGATAGCGTAAAACTCAGCTTGGAAGAAACTAGAGTATTTTACAATGGGTTCCGATTTTGTTCCAGGACTCCTGCTTTCTTACCGAATACTTCCATGTGTTCTAGACAGCAGACGGCTACTAGCCATGCTTATTATACTTTGTATCAATGTTTCTATTTTTTGTTTGTATCAATTCTAATAAAGTATTGTGTACTATATTGTTAAAAAGTTTTTTTAGATCCATCTGTGTACCAATAGATGGTGCCATTTTTAAAGTAGGTGTTTTTCTCTTTTTTTCCATTCTTTTTTGGTACCTAGGTTTGTATGAAAGTTTTGATTAAATTCAAACATCCTTTTCTGTCGTCTCTTGGAGCCATGAGTATGTTCTTTCATTATGTTGTTGTTATCTCTCTATTTTAGTTTTATTCGGGTTGGAGGTTTCTCTTTAATAATACTAATAATTATTTTCTGTGTTGTTCTCGTTATCATGTAGTGTAGGGGGATTAATCCCAATATCTTCTCCGTACCAACAGTGGGAATGTTCTCATTGTTCACATATACAAATGCATGTAATTTTTTCGAATTCTCTTCGTTTTATTATTTCTTCTAAATTATCGGCCCAGGCTTTAGCTCCGTATGCAAGATAAGACTTTTATCCCTATCCCTCCCATCATGGTGTACATCCAAACCAGTTTTCCGGTCTGCATTTCCAGTTTTTCCCGCTATTCTTCTTCACACCATCATAATCTTTATGATGGTGGAGCCGATACGTTCCTTAAATGTCAGTGTTTTATCTAGTGTGGCGCCTAGATATTTGGTCTCTCTTTTAATTTCTATCACATATTCCTGCTAATGTGCCATCTATATATTTTTGACCGAAAGGAAATCTTCGTTTAACGGAATATTTATTGTGAACAATACCTCGATAGCCGCTGTACGGTGTCGGTTTTCATTTGGTTATATTTTTGTCTATGATATGCAAAATGATTTATAAAATTAAAAAATGATAATTTAATACGAAAATGAGAGACTGTATTGTTCCAGGAAGTAAAGGCTTTGATTATTTCAGTTAGAATTTATTATCTACTGCCTTTTACTTTTTATTTGCAGATTTATCACCGTCTACTGCATCTTATCTAATGCGTTATTATAGATTTTTTGTTTAATATTGACCTACTTTCAACGAATCCTGGGATTCGTGTAAACTCAATTTATGATACTTCATTTATGTTTTATTTTAACTTTTAAAGAAACATAAAATTGGGTTTGCTCTGTTTTGTTACTCTTGACATTCGGTTAAAAATGTCCGGGAAGAAGAAGGGGCCTTTGTCCAGGGAAATGGGCGGCACATCTCATCTCATGGGACACGGCTCATTTCGTTCGGCTAAGAGAGGATAAGGCCAGTCGGTCGGGAGTGACCGTGTGCATAAATCCTAGCTTAAAATAGTAAAATAAAAAAAGGGTTATCGAAAGTATTTTTAATGGATTTTAATGTCGATTTTGGCGAGTTCTTGGGCTCCGTCAAGCACAGGTCGCAAGCTAATGCTCGCGAAAGGGACAGGACACTAAGGTAGGTGACAGCATGAGTAAAACAAAAAGAAATTTTGTTTTCGACATAATCATTCATGAATCTTCAATCATTCTTAAGAACAAACCTCTGATCTGGCCGGAAATAAGCCAAAATATGCGAATCCAATGATGCTGATATAAATATTCTTCCTTCCAACCAAAACTAAAGTTGTAAAAACGCTATTAAATAAGTGCGCGGTCTTGAAAGACCAACACTCTTCATTACAGACTTTCTACAATGTGAAGTGCAGCTAACGTTATTTTCCATTTCGTCTCTGATGGAATTATCCGAATATATGGAATATGAAAAATTATTCCAACCAAAAGTTATTATAAATCAACTATTATACCACATACACCATCACGCGTGTTTGTGAATTTATGTTTGTTAACTCATAGATAACACAAAAACTATCTTTACATTTCACGTTTAAGAACTTAGTAGAATCTAAATATTGAAACATTAGCATAAGACACAAATGCGCCTATAGGGTGTCGGTGGCCGCAACCATTTAGGCGTTTACACGGCGCTCATCTCTGTAATGTAAGTCCTGGGTTCGAATCCAGAGGCCCTTTACTTGAACCCGATATACTTAAAAAAGTTTTTGTTTTTTTTCAAAAACCGGAACCCCGGGGTTGATATGACCTCTGCTGTTGCGAATCCCCGTTAAAATAAACAAATAAAAAATAAAGAAAGTATTAATAATAAAATAATTCGCAACTATTTTACTATGCGTTTGTCATAATACTGGATACTCTTGGAATGGTACCTTGTAAGAACAAAATATTCTTTTCGACTGTACTTCAGAAGGAGAGTGGCTTCCGCCTTTCAGATCTTAACAAATCGATAGGTGACCCTCGGCGGATCTTAGAAGGGTCATCATCTGCTTAAGAATAGGTCATGCGAGGTTGACCTACAAACACTTACTTTCGAGCCGAAGCGAGCGTATGCATCCCGCTTATGGAGAAAGATTGCTTGATGTGACCCATTTAATTGAAGGATGGGATCCTTTCCTCCATATAGAGAGCGTGAAGGAATGCCACCCGATGTATGCTTGAGCATAGCAGGTCCCCTGTTCTAATCTTTAGAGGAAAAAGGGCTGTTTTACGGTATATAATCCTTCATACATATCGTGTTTGTTGTCTTGTTTCTTTGTGTGGTTGAGAATGAATGTATTTATTAGCGTGAATATGCAATGTGAGAGGGCCAATAGCAGAAAATAGAGTACTTCATCGTTTTCTCCATTAAATTAGTTATATAAATAGATACTAATGAAGGAATATCAAGTACTCCATCACCCTGAGTGAATGGTATGTAAATATTTAAGAATACATTTAGAATGAGTGACGGTGTGAATGAAGCATTGGTCATCTTTTTGTAAATAAGATTGCCTGGGCTTTATCGACATTAATTTTTATCTTTATATGTACATAAAAGTCCTAATTGACTGTAGTAATTAATTAAATTAATTATACTTATAATCTAAGGTCTTGTTTTAGATGAAAAAGCAAGTGTCACAAGCGGGATCGAAAACAAGGCAAAAAGAGGGAAAATTCAAAAGGTTGCGATGAGGAATTGCTGTCCGGGTGGATCAGATTCGTGTTAGTTCAAGTGGTTAGAGAAACGGCGTATTAGCCAAAGGTCGTTGGTTCGAATCCAGCTCATGACACTTGCTTTTTCAACTCAACCAAAGCCTTAGATTAAAAGTATAATTAATTTAATTAAATAATACAGTCAAGTATGACTTATATATACTTATCAGATTTCTTCATGTCTGCAGTGTGATGTACCTGCAGTTTGGACATTTATGATCATGATGGTCTGCCCAGCCTCACAGGTTTGGTCAGTCGGACTGTCAGCTTTACCATCTTCAACGCTGGGTCTGAATGCTTCTGATAAACCAAACCTGTGCATCACACTGCAGACCCTATTAAGAAATATAATAAAAAAATGAAAATATTAATACTCCATTCACAAGGGTGTGACAATTTCAATAAATAATTAAAATGATAATTTTTAAATTAGTTCATTTAAAATTATTGCTCTATTCCTTTTTATATTCTCGATATTTATATTTTCTGATGCAACAGAATTTCTTTATCAGCCAGTTAAACTACTATATGATCATTCTTATTTGTTAATTATTTTGTAAGGTTTAAGTTTTGTATTTTTTTATATCTTTTTTTACGAGGGTTTTTCAATTACTAGGTTATATGAACCCTCAGGGTGCTGGTGTTTTTGAAAAAAGCCCTTTTTTTAGAATGTCTTTACCAGACAGTGATGACCATTGTATCAATGCCTTAATCGTGGAGCCACCGATGCCCCTTAGTTTCTTTTTTATTTTTAAAGATAAACCACTTGGGAGAAAACGCCATTTTTAAGTTAAACAGCTATGGCCCTTTTTTTTCACGCAACTTTTCCTTCCAACTAAATATGATGAAATAATCAAAGAAATGAACTCTAGCTAATAAACAATCTCATAAGATTATTAGAAAAAGCATTATATCGGGTTGTCCGGAAAATAATGCAGGATTTTAAGTTTTCATTAAAAAAAATCTATATAAAATATTCTGTTTACGTTTACAGGATTACTCNAAATTATTTTGATTAAAGAACATTGCTTTAAAGTAACTAGTTTCTTTTTTTTTGTTTAATACCAAAATCCTGCATTATTTTCCGGACAACCCAATAGCATTTCTTGACTCCTTTGGCCATTGGGGCCGATTTTCTGGCTCCTTTGGTGGCCAGTTGTTTCCTGGGGGCTTTTCCTTCAATGGATTTACACAGGTGGTCTGCTGTGGTGCCATTGTGAGCGAATTTCACCAGTTTGAGATGAAAAAATACCAAAACAAATCTGTAAAAATAGACAAACCAAGATGGTCAGAGATAGTAAAGTTAGGTTTATCTCCTACAGACTTCATTATAATTCACAAATATTAAAGTTATTGTGCTACATTTAAAACTTTTCAGTGTTAACACAGCGTTCACAATATTACGTACATTAATTCCGACAGAACCACCTGATAGGAAGCTGTCCAAAATTGAGACTTTACGACTTGCAAGCAGTTACATTCAACATTTGACATATCAGCTTATTGCAGGTACTTTTTTTTAATACAGATTTACAAATGTACTAGTATTATCAATGTGTACATTTCAGAACCAATGGACAGCCCGTGTGCAAAACTCCAGAGCAAGCAATGGACAAAAAAAGACAAAAGGTCAAGTCTGTGCACTTTCTGTCTCACTAACATTAAAAAGCAGGTAATTTTATCATGTATTCTATATGATCTTTCTGTTTTTCTTATAAAAATAAACCATTACATTCAAATATTTTCAGAAACTTAAAACTGCAAATAATGATTATCAACATGAAACTCAGCCCATTTTAGAAGAGCCTATGGATTTGATTGATCAAAACTACCTTATGTATTCCCACCAATAAACATTTTTTATGAATTTAAAACTTTTTTAAAATTTCAGATGAAGATATGATTCAATCAAATGGAAATCAAACAAACAATTTTTTTATATTCAATAAAAAGTCAAATTGAAATGCAGAGGAATTATATATTTATAGACATTTAAAGTGTAACGCATTATCTCTACGATAAAAGGAATTATGACAAATATACACAACCAGTTAATTTCAAAAGCTAAACCGAAAATCACAGCTTTATTATGCACTAACACTCTACTTATTAAAAAAACATTTTCAAAATTATATTTAATTTGAAAATTAACAATAAATAAAATCAATGTATTACTAGTAACCTACACAACTAATGTACACTATTTTAAAACACACTTGAAAAACATCAACAACTATTTATTCATGTTAAACACTATTTAGCAATCCATTCTTTTCCACATATGGAGATTTATTTTTTAGAAATTAATTTAAAAGATTTAGAATTTAAGATAAAAATCCATGTTTAAAAAAATATAACTTCCATTGAAAATATTACAAGAATAAAATATTAACATATTTGTCTACAAAAATAGTTAAAATCCAAAATAGAAATGTTATTTTTTAATTAGAAATAATTTATTCTAAAAATCCAATTATATGTAAAACAAAGACAAATTTGACTAAAAACAATTTTTGCTTTCTTTTTTTAATTCTCTCTTCCCCTGGCTTTGTGCATACACATATGCCAAAACATTACATTTCAACAATTAATACATTCATCACAATAAACATTTCTTCTTTGTACGACAAAATACTATATAATTATTAATAGGTGTATATATTTATATAAATATATTTATTCGGAAAATTTTATGAAAATAATGGAGTTAATGTTACAAAACAAAACTTCATTTGCGCAAAATGTTTCATAAGATACACACAAGAGATGTACAATTATAATTATATTTTGTATCTTTTATGTATAATAGGTAACTGATTAAATACCTAACTACTTATATACCAGAAGTTCCTTTGGTTTCAATATTAACAAGCAGTTTAATTATATTATTTTTTTGGCAAATAAATACTGATGAACACAATAAATAAGCTTTGTTGTACTCATAACGTTATAAGCATGAGATTATACAATTATACCTCCAATTCTGGAGTAGGAAAAATTGAAAACATATTTACTATTGGATAAATATGGTGATTATAAGCTTCCACAACCAGATTATAGCAATAATGAAATTTTCAACAACTCAGTTTCATTATAATGCAATTAGATGCATGCTGTGCTTGTTCAAATTGATTTTGTATCCCACATTAAACTTTATCCTCTCTCGTCTTGTCTTATTTGTACAGTTATATAATAAGTACCAATCAATTAAAAGCCATTTGATATCTTTGGAAAAGAAAATTCAGGCCATTATTATGCACTAAATACAAGAATTCTAGATAGTAGCAATTTGTAAATTAAATTAAACAAGCTAATACATTTTGACTGAATATAAGATATGCTTTGGTTTGGTATGTAATTATTACATTTAGTTAACTAAATTTGTACTATTTACTGTTCTCAGAAAATTTTATAGAAGAAAAGACACAAAATTATTCCCCAAAAACATAACAATATTGATAGTAACTATTAACATTAGTTTAAAAAAATCTTCTTCTCTTGGATTTCAATTTTATTTTAATTTTTTACCATGAATATGATTCATTTTCAATTAAGATAGGCTTTTGTTAATAATTATAATAATAATAAATAATTGAAGATACTGTTTATTTTAAAATATAGATAAAATTAAATAAAAGTTACTTTAACTTCCATTTTTGAAGATTTATTCCTCATTTTTTCAAGAGTAGTTCATTTTGTCAATCAATTAAGATAAATGTATACTTTTATCTTTTTTTTATTTTATAAAATCTGAAGAAAAAATATCAATTTAATTAAAATAACATAGGAAAAACTTTAACCTCATTAAAAATTAAAAACATTATAGGCTTAAAATTTATTGGTAAAAAAGTCAAACTCAAATTGAGCAAAAAGGCAAAATTATTCAAACATTTATGTTTATCTTTGGAACTGAAAACTATAGAAACTTTTTTCAATTCACCAACTACAGAGTAGGAGTTGCTAGTGGTTCCCAGGGGGAAGAGTTAATGTTTTTGCTTACCGTGACATGGCCCCTGATGTAATACACATTGTGCTAGTTGTTAAATGTGAACAATGCTGGGTCATCAGTGAAGAATTGTGTGTTGTTCACATGCCGAATTGTCCGTCCGGAGAGGAGGTGGCTGCCATATATGATGCCCTCTTCCCGGTCTTTGACGAGTCCTTGTGAAAGGAGCCAACTGACAAGCTCCTCACCAGTAAAACAAGGAACAAATTCCCATAGTTTTAGCCTTTCAAAAAAATAATAATCATTAGAGAATCTCAAATCAACTATGTGAATATCATTTTACAGCATTTTTATGTTGTAATAAAAATTGAGTAAAAGGTATCAAAGTTTATCAATAGTCAATCGATTTCTGCAAAAGTCGGAATCTAAGGGTTTTATAATGGTAGAATCCCAAATGAGGTCAAATTCAAGTTTTGATCGTTTTCTGATCTATGTTGCTTATAGAATGTTTGTTAAAATTAAATTAATTGTTAAAAAAAGTATTTTGTTGGTTTTTAAATTATCCCAAATTGTACATACTGTATTTTTATTGCAATCTTCATAAAAAACTCTGTAAAATGATATATCCACATAGTTGATTTGAGCAATAAGAAAGGTTAAATAAAAATATTAAGAAATGGAAATCTTTTTTTTTTTTTGTGAACCAGGGCCTATTCATAAGTTGAAGATATGTGTCCGATATTTTGGAGTGTAGAATGAACAAAAAAAATTCGGCCCAAATCCTTGACCCACCAACCTGGTTGTGTCCCCTTGTAAGACTCAAATATCAAGGAAATAAAACTGTTTGAATGGAAACCAATATGTAACTAATGCACAAGCAATATGCTTTGTTTATAATAGGAACGAAAAAGAATCTAGAGCAATCTATAATTGTAAATAAGCAAGAGGTTTTGTATTACTAAACCAAACTTTCAATGTATTTATTTTATTTTTAGGAAGTATTAAAATTAAGTGACTTTATTCTAATTGACTAATGTTTGATAGTGTGCTCTTGTTGAAGAATACCTTGAGCTGTAGCATCTCAGAAAAATAGTGGTTGTACACAAACACATAGGTCTGGAGGGTAACAAAGAGGTAGATAAGGCAGAAAACCGCTGCTAATAATGCAATAAAAACAAGATTAAAAGAAAATGACAGGTTGGTGCATACATAAGGATTGAACAAGGGAAAATGAAGAAATATTTGTACACAATGATGATTTGAATGATAGCATAATTAAATTTTATAAATTACCTTCTCCTTCTAACGATCTGGGCCTGGCATGGTTGGATATGATAGGTGTTGAATTGATAACATAGATGTTGTGTTTCTGATGGTAACTCCTCTACTCTTGGAAGTACAATAGGCTCACCTTGAGAAAATGTCTCAATAATTCTATAAATGATTAAATAAATACTAAACTCCTGAATCATGTTTAGATATTTTGATTGATTGCCTTACCCTTTAATCAGCGGTTGCATCAATGAGATAATATCCAATCCGAATATGAACAGAACTATAAGACTCTGCCCACGTTTCAAAGAGACGTCCAAAAATGCCAATTCAACATAAACGCCAGTTATATCCTCGACAACGCACCATATAAACAATGACAAGTCCTGAAAATTGAGTTAGTTGTTATTAAATAATTAATCAATTTGAGTGTTTATATGTACTTACGACAAATATTGAACAGACGAGCAGAAGGACAAGTGCTAGGTGGTGAACTGGCTGAGTGTCTTCATTATTATTTCCCACACTTGGTTCCGTTTTAGGTAGGACAGGCTCATCATCTCTGAACAAAAGTATAAATATTATATATTTAAACATATTAACATATATAAAACAGTTGATGAACATGATACTGAGATACTGTTATTGATGTTGTAAGAAAACAACATTTTCTTATTCTCACCTGTTAGCAATATCTTCAGAGCTTTGCATAACTTCATTACTAGCATTAGCTTCTCGTGAATAAACTAAATACCTTGCATACCGTTTTTTGTATCTTTGTTGAAGCACCATATAAATTACACTGACTAAAAATTAAAAAAAAAAAATCAATATGAAAGAAAAATTTGATAACCTAATAAGAAAACATACCGATTAGGCAAGCAAGAAGAATAAAAATATTTATCCCTGCTTCCACATTTCCAAAAGTCAGGCTGTATTTTGAATTCAATGAGCTCTGGTGTACCTGGCCAGTAAGCAAAATCGCAGCGATGAAGAGTAGAGGCATGCTTTAAAGAAAATACACATATGAAAAACATTTTTTTTAAATTATTATTTCAACATACCACCAAGCCACTATACAAAATATAGAAAAGAGGTGGTAAACAGTAGCGAAATTGCGAGATTCTATTAAAGCCAGGCAAATTGCAAGGCAGGCTGTCCAGATCCTTGAGCTGAAATCACCCATGTTGACGAAAAAGAACTGAATGTAGTCAGTATACCCAGCACCGATAGTCCCAATTAGAACCCCAACACAGCTAACAAGCTGAAAATTTTCATTTTTAAAAATCTAGAACAAATAAATTTTTGGTAAATTGTACCTGAGAGATAATCAAACACATTGTTATTTTCTGAGGCAGACTCCACATATTTCTTTTGATAATATACACAACCAAGAGAATAATCTAAAAAGTAAAAATAAATAAATAATTGCATAAATTAATCAGAGATTTTTCTATAACTAAAAATAAAGTAATTCCTGGCATAGAGAGAGGCTTAATGTCCAACTGCCCATTGAGTTCGTGAATGTGGGGGCAAACCACTTTACAACACATTTTCATACCATCATCAATTAAAAAGCCATGAACTCTGCCTAGATTCGAACCAAGGTAGGCAAATACGGGTCAGATGTCTTAAATACTTGGACCCAAAATTTTCTCTACTTCTGGCCATTAAAAACACTTACACAAGCAACCCCAGCAGCAATGCTTAGATCAACTTCGAATTTATGTAATGTGGGAATAAAATCCTCTGGAGACAGATGGGACACGGATACCATTTTAGCAGATATGAACATGAGTGGTGCAGAGATGAAAGTGCAAGCTACCATGGCGCTTGCAATCTAAAATTTAATAATAATTGTAAGACGTTTCAAAACATTCTTTTAAAATATTTTGGATGGTTTATTTACCAGCTCAACATCAAGGGCATATGATGTTGCATAAACAAACACACCTGGTGCTGCGGGAAATGTTCCATATAAGAAACCATATGTGCTCATTTCTGTAATAGCTGTAGAGTTAATAGTTGTAGTATGAAGGACTAAGCTAGTGATTTCCCTCAGAACCAGTGGTAGGACAAGTCTTAAATTAAAATGTAAGTTGTTATACAGATTATATTTAAAATTTTAAATCAAGATTTTATAAAATCAACCTACTCTTTTACAGCAATGAGAAAAGCAGGAACAAGAAGAGCCTCTCCTCTGAAATTTCTCACATTGCCTACCATCCTGAGCCCAAGAAGAAAAAGAGCTGTTGCTGTAAAAGCTGATCCAAATGCCTAAAACATGAAAAGATAATCAAACAATGTTATAAATATAGTGAAAAAAATAATTCTTACACTAAGAAGGCTTGATAATGCAACAGGGACTTTATGCGAAAAGATGAAATTTCCAATAATTCCAAGTGCTGTCATAAGTACAACTGGGTTGGTTATTATACTTGTCACAGTGCTAAGGAGAAGCTGAAGCTTAGAGGTTGTCATCCCTTTTCTTTTTCCAATCTCCATGAGAATGAAGCCAATAGGGTTCAGCATGACAAGTGACACGGGTGCGATAAGGTACAAGTAGCTGACAAATGGATGGTTCTTTCCATAAACAGTCATCACTGGAAAAGCATAATTTTTAAAAACAATTCAACTGAATAACTAAGAAATACGAAATGTCGAACCAATGGGATATCCAATTGCAAAGTCATTACTCTGAGTGCAAAATATCGCATAAAGCCCTGATCTTCCTGGATCAACGGGCCTGGTGACCAGCAATGTTATTAGAAGGACAGAAACAAAAACAATTGCTTTTGATATGAATACAGATAAGAGGAAGTACCAACAGACTGAGGATAAATCAAGGGTAGCCAAGGAGAGAAAAATAAGGGATGGAAGGGAGAAAGTGCCTACAAAAGTGGCTAGGCCACTTGTTTGCTGTTCAGAAACAATTCCCAGTCGGCCAGCAACATACCTGAAAAAATTAATAAACTCGTTTAGCAAAGAAAGTTTTGTACAAAGACTCTTAACTATAATTTCTGGTCCTTATTAAGATAACTTCAGCTTCTTTATTTGTTTATCAGTATGTTGGTTATCAATGTTGCCTCACCTATATCAGATGGTTTCAGTATTTTGACCATTGCAACTATTTTTACATTTTATCGTTTTTACTGTTTCCTGTCATACAAAATAGCATAAATAGAACAAGAATGATCAGTATTGGGCAAACTGTGAAAGATTGGATTGTTTACATGTATATTATTTATAAAATATTTTCCCATAATCTTTCTTTATGCGTGTTAATCAAATCTGATTTAAAGGGAAGGAATGAAAAAATATAATTTATTTTTTATAAGACTATAAATCAGGTAACTTAAATGAAGAAATGATATTGAAAATCTTAATTATATTTTTCACATACCAGTAGTATTTATAGTAAAGTAAAAGGAAATTAACAGCTACTCGCATTTCACTTCAAATTATTTATTACAATGGAGTTCAAAGCTATACATAATCATCCATACAGATAAAACACTGCTAAGTCCAGTCTCTGATTATGTGTAAATGAAATTTGGTCAAACTTGGTCTATTCCAACTGTCGTTTCAATTTTATCTTCGGTATATTATCTTTGGTGAAATTCTTGTTTGAATCTATCCTAACTCACAAGGACACAATTGGATAGTGAAATAAGTCAGTGCAGTTTTTTATGGTAAAATCAATGAAAATTTTAAGCACTTGTAAATAAATTTAATCAACAATATATGAACAATTTAGTTCCAACCTGTTGACATTATCTTTTGAATTTTGTAATTTCATCCTCCCCGAAATTTTTGAGTAATGAATTCCTCAATGTGTTTTCTGCACTCTTTGGGTGAAGCCATGTTTTTTCCCATTAATAGATTTTTTTAGAGCTCTGACTAAAGGCCTAAAAAAAAGGCCACTAAAGGTGGAATAGCGGATCTAAACCAACCTCCAACAATTTTTGGTGTGTTTGCAAAGACAGTCGGGGGAAAGCATTGGTAGAAAGCAATCCCATTGTGATAGCAAATGCCAATCATTTTTGGACAATTGCTGATTTTAATAATTCTGAATGCGTGCAGCATATACAAAACATAATTGTTTGATTGAGAATAAGATGCTCATAACACAATACCCCTTCCAATCCCACCAAATGCACATTACTTTTTGGGATGCAGACCAGTTTTTTGGAGTTGTTAATGGTTCCTGCGTTTTCAAGATTTTCCTTTCTAAACGTTGTTATAAAGAACCTACTTTTCATTCTGATATCAATCTTTTTTAAAAATTACTGTTTATGTTGTGTTTTAGGAGGGTATTGTGATACTGTAAATTATTTATTTTATTTTTTGAACCAGGGGCTACGCATAGTGAAGTCATTTCAGCCTCCCATTCACTGTTACAATCGACGGGGTACTCAATATTTTGCCATCACCTCATTAAACATACACATAATTTAATTATTTACAAATTCCAATATATACACAGTGCATACATTTCTATATGTGAAAAAACATCTCTGACCACGCCCGCCCAAGTACCATCTTTATATCAGGGCTCATGTTTACTTGTTCCCTGTAAGGGGCCAAGGCAAGGCACTATTCAATCAGATTTTGAATCTTAGATAAGATTTTGACCCACAAACAGGTGCCCATTTGTCAGACAGATAAATTATTACGTGAACATAATATGATCAACCCATATGACACTCCAAAAAACAAATCTATCTGCACTAAGATGCGCTAAAACGCTTACATAAAATATGTTAAGGGTCTCTGCAATGTATCATATTTGATTGTGGGTTATATATGACAAAAACTTGAATATGGTCATCATCAACCAGTTTTTTCCTTTACCACAGTAACCCTCCAGATAAGGTGTTTATTTGACATGCTTCCTTTACATGATTACACGTTCTACACAATTATATTATATTAAGTTGGTTTATTTTTTGTTTTGTATGTGTTTAAGTATTAAATAACTAAGTTTTATTGTCTCATGATTAAGAAAAACAAATTTTATTATATTTATAATTTCTCCAAATCAATGTTCATAATAAATTTAAAGAATGTATCAAAGTGATCATTTATTAACTTTGCTTCATTTGGGGACATCGATTCTCTCAGAGTAGAACGTCTTTTATTAATGATCTGCCCTGGTCTTGTTTTTCACAGAGTAATTCCATGTTTGACTGTCCTGGTTGTAGCAGACATATTCGACTGTCTATAATGCCAAATCGGTGCAAATATTCTCTATTTCAGCCATGACCTGGGTCCGTTTAAAATTATTCATCAAAGTTGGTTACAACCTGTTGTTAATCATTGGAAAGAAGATTTAGTTTGTCTCCCTTCTGCTCATTTTTCCATTCTTCCTGCCAGTTTTCTTTGATGATGATTTTGTTTAAGTTTAAGACATGACTAAACGGCACTTTTGAATATGATTTTTCCAACCATTTACTAAGTGCTGCTTCCCTTCCTAGTTACTCCCATTTGCACCTAAATCCTGATTTTTTTTATAAATCATCAGTGGTTGAAGGATGGTAAAAGTGTTTTGTATACACCAAATCAATATTCCTGGTTCTGAACAAACATGGATGTGCTTTCTCCTAAAGTGTCATTACTCATCACCATGCACCTCACAAATTTTCCTAGCAGTCTGAGCTGTGGTTTTCTCTTTGAAAAATCCTCTAAATAACACAAATGCACTATTTTTTCTCTATATTAAATTAGCAAATCAGTTTTAATTAATCAATTTTCAGAGAATCAGAGAACATTGTTTCAAACCGCAATAGGATAAAATCAAACCAATGAAAAATGCTACAGACATATTTTACAACCCAATTCAAATTCTAATAATTACCTAAGTAAATCAAAATAAACTTTTTTTAAGGTATTTCAACTACGAGGTTTTATGAACCCTCGGGGTGAGTGTTTTTGGAAAAAAAAATTTGTAAGTATGTCAGGTTCATATAATTTTAAATCAATTCTAAATTATTGTTGATTGTTGTGTTCCTCTTTCTGACAGATTACAGACAACATTAGTTAGCTTGTTTGAACAATGTTTCATTTAAAATTTGCCTACTTTAATACTGGATAGTTTGAATTTTTGAAAACACCAGGCCAATATGCCTTCTAAGCAGAAAAGAACAGAAAGAAAAGAATCTTAACACCTAAGTGTCTTATATTATCTAGTTTGGTCTTTTCTGATGATTGTGCTCTGTCAGATGTGTTCAGATTCTCACTACCTTCATGGCAGGGTTTGTATGAAAAACTCTAAAGATGGAGTGAAGCCAAAACTAAACTGATAGACCAAAAAATCAGATATTTAGATCACCCTCCGTATCCCAAGTGTAAGATTTATATTTTGTAGATCAGGCAATAATCAAATTCATACTTCCTATTTTAGCTAGGCATGAAGATGAAAAATTTTGGCCAGTAAACTACGTAAAAAGATATGGGGCACTCTCAATACGACACACAGTAATGAAACATCTACATAGAAAACAAACACTTAGCCCTGAAGATCTCAATAAAGATCGAAACATTGGCACGATAAAGTAACTGTTTTTCTAAACCTACTTCACACCAGTCAGCATCTCACAATCTCCAAATAATATTGTATTATGTTAAATCTATAAAAACTACAGATATTAATGGGTAGGAAGAAAACGGACTCACCCGCAGATGATTACCCCAAAGCATTCGATGAGGGCCGGGTACAGTTTGTCAAAGGGTACGCCGTTGTCTGCCAGCTCATAAACCATGATTTCCAATATTGAATTTTTACGATTTTTAATTAAACAGACAATATGTCATGTCAATTATCTCAGTTCACATTAAGATCTCCAGGTTTCTGATTGTTTTAATTAACTTTGTATCATATTTCATAATAGGCTGTAAACATAAACCATTGTAAATTAATATTAGAAATAAAATTGTAGTGAAAGCAGAAAAATGTACCTTTTTTTATTGGAATAATCAGTTATTCGGCTTCTTGTCAGTTGTAGTTACATTTCTTTGGATGTCATGATTAGCCGGAGAGGGAGACAACGAGCGAGGTTTCACTGACAACCGTCATTATCAGCTGAAAATCAGCTGAACGCCCGGCGGTGAAAGTCCAAACTCGGATAGGGGGAGTGAAAACGCTTGAACTTACGCTCGAACTTGGGAAGATACAGAAAAGCTTTTCAAATAATATTATTTTTATTTATAAAAGTATATTTAGAAAAGAAAACAAAATATTAGATTTTTTTTTCAAAATAACAAAATTATACTTGTAATGGCATGAACTAGTCAGTCGTCCGCATTCTTTATAAATATGTAATGTGTCATTAATCGTAAAATACATAAAACTACTTTATAAATAACTACTTTATTAATATGTTTTAAGAAAATTAAAAAATTCTGTGTCGACAAAAAATCAATATGTATATTCTCCCTATGCACACAAAAATATTTTAAGTAATTTGCATAGATTTCGTTGAAGGTTCATTCCATATGTATTTTTTTAGCTAAGATAATAAAATAACTGCAAAATTCATTTTTCCTGTAGTTTGCAAGATTTGTTATTCATAGGGTTCATAGGGATTAATAGGAGATTATATATGTATGTATATGTATGTATATACAGGGTGAATTGCTACTCGTGCTACAAACTTCTCCAGTAGATTCTTCACCCTAAAATGAACAAAAAAGTTCATATTGTCCATGGTCCGANTACTTATATATACACACACACACGAGACACCCTGGTTATTTATATGTGCATCAGCGTATGTAAATATACATAGATACGTTGTTATTTTATTTCACTAATATAATTTTTTCCTCTTTTGTTTATTCCTTGAGAACAAGATTTTAATCATTTTTTGTTTGTTTATTAAAAATTTATAGTCTGACCCCGGCAGACGGTTGATAACAATTGCCGTTATGTGATTTTAGTTATGTGGGATTTTTTCTCTTTTGTTTATATAACGAAGTACATTTTCCATTGATTCATTCACATCTTGCAAATTTATGTCGCGAACGAATTTTCTTACAATTACAACGAGAGAGAGAGAGAGAGAGAGAGAGAGAGAGAGAGAGAGAGAGAGAGAGAGAGAGAGAGAGAGCATTTCAAACTATACAGGGTATCAGGGGACTCATGAACAAACTTTGCCAGTACTTTTCACACGTCCAGTGGGGCAAAAAAGTTTGTATGAACCATGGTCCGATCCTCAACTCTTTTGCAGGTATTCAACATTTTGTTTTTGTTTAAACTATCTCCGGTTTTCGTCATAATTCTACTCGTAGCTCCTGAACTATTCTTTTTTGGGGAAATTTAAAAAAAAACATTGAAAAAAGAGCTTAAAATTTCCTTTACGAAGACACTATTCTAGAACTTTAAATTTAATTTATAGTAAAAAAGCACATACACTAGATCTTTCAAAACGTGCTAAATTTAAGATTTGAACAAAAAACTGAGCGATTTGCAATCTCGTTGGAAAAATTCAGGGAATAGCTTGGCAAACTTCGTAACACCTTCGTTTGATAAGCTTTCTAATGGAATATCCTTTTCTTTAATTACATTGAACCAAAATACAGAAATGTTTTGCTAAATCGGAAAAAGTGTTAAAGATAAGAAGGGGATTGGAGTTATTCTCTTCTGATAGGCAAAAAAAAGGTCAATTGGTCTTTTTTTCAGTATGGAGTATTTCCTCCTCTTGCGATCATCACCGCTTGCATTCGACGTGGCATCCAATTTATGAAGTTTTGAGTGTAGTGCCATGGGATATTTTCATACTCCTCCAACAGTAAGTGTGAATTCCCTGTTATTTCTTTATTGTTCGTGTTTGTTTTATATTATTTCTTTGCATAACAAAATGGTATTCTTGTAAAAATCTTGTTATTACCTTATTATAATGCTGCTGGCTAGATCACGACAAAGAAAACTACAACACAGTTCTTTTGAACATAAGTCTGTGATTCAATTTGTTCTACAGAAATTCCAAAATCTTATAGAAAATTTTACAAACATGCAAGGACGGAATCGATGGGTGCTTTCGGGTGTCCTGAATGAGACATTTTTTCTCAATAAGAGTTAGCTTAGTACACGTTCGCTACTTGGCCACTTTCTAAGGACCTTTCTAGCAGCCTCAAGGTCTCCTCAATGTTCTTTCGCTAAGCCTTGACCTTGGGTGATTGTATGCATTTAAAAAATTGATTTTGTTGATGCCTGTTAATTTAAAAAAAAAAGACTCATATTTCAGCTAGTATTTAAACTTGATAACAGCACCAAGTTCTTTCACCTTCGAGGAAAAACCTGTAATATTTAAACTGCCGCCATATCAAAAGACATATAATATAAATATATACGCTTCTTTAGGGTATAAAAGGGGAGTGGCTAGACTCTAATTCCTTCTATGTTTGATTGTTACCGATCATTTTGGTATGCCCATCCTCGTTGGGCGTGTGCCTGTCAAACTCGGTTTAGTTTGTCCCAGTTTTTCAGTGGTGGGTGTGAATATGGCGAATTGCCGATATAGCGATTGGATGTTGTGGGCCTCAGTATAATTTAGGCCTGTTAGGTTACAGACTACTGAGGTCATACTTACACGGTAGAACATTTTCTGTCAAATGCGGTCAAGCAGTATCAGCGTCCAGACCTATGGCATCAGGAGTACCCCAAGGAAGCGTATTGGGCCCCTTCCTCTATCTGATATACACTCATGATTTCCCGTCGTCAGCATCATCAACACTGGCATAGCTGGCGGACGATGTCGCGATATTAAAAAGGGACTCCTCCTACCCATTGGCACAGGAAGACCTCCAACTGCTCCTAAACGAGATATCAAGTTGGTGCATCAAATGGAGAGTTAAAGTTAATACCACTAAATCAATAGTTGTACCATTTACAATATGTCGCAAAAGCTTTGAGGAGACGATGGTCCTGAATGGAATGCCAATCCCAAGCAGCAACTGCGTGCGCTATCTAGGCGTCCAATTAGACTCGAAACTTACTTGGAGCGAACATATAAAGCAATTGGTCACTAAAGTTCGCCAAAGAATAAGACAGCTGAAACATCTGTTAGGCACTCAATCTCCTCTTACTTTGAGCACTAAGAGACTCTTATTGTATATCTGTCGCTAATTAGGCCCATTTGGACTTACTCCTGCGAACTCTGGGGAGCGACAGCTAAATCACACTTGAACAAAATCCAGGTGACACAAAATAGAGTACTACGACTCATCACAGGCGCCCCGTGGTACGTGCGNCGGAAAAAAAAAAAATAAAAAAAAAAAATAAAAAAAAAAAAAAATAAAAAAACACCCCTATTGCCCTTGGAAGATGAAATTTTGTGTTGCTTATCCCTTTTATTTGGCAGAAATATTTTGTTTAGTAAACCACAAGGCACGTTTTTTTCAACATTAATGGTCAAATATGTATATTGTACTTGAAGTGCCTTTGACAGTATGCCACAAGTAAGCACCGGAATAATAGCTCCTTTATAGATTGTGTTTGGTAATCCGCAGTACACCCTAGCAGCCCGAGACGTGTACTAATTTATTATTCTTTTGGACTCTGTGCTTTTCATGTTAAACGTTCGTCAAACTAAACGATTTCCAGGCGTTAATCCATAATGTATATCTTAATCTCTTTTTGCCTTCATCGTCTGAATATGTGCGTGGCTTTTAATTTGTCTACACTGAAACCTATGTTACTCTAAAAAGTCTTTTTTTCCAAATGTATAGTCTATATTAGCTCAAATACAGATTGTCAAAATCATCCTTTCCGTAAACAACCATCCTTAGTCCTTAACAAAAGCGAAGGCCTGCACCAATTCAGCCTAGTCTAATTTGAGCGAGGTGTCAATCATATTTCAGAACCAGCGATCTCCTCCACAGGAGTCTTATGAGCATCCGATGACCTGTTCTCGGGTCCCACTTAGGTTATTAGTCCTTACTGTAACGTATCTTTGAATAATTGAGAAATTTCTTCTTGGGGTCTGCGGTAGTTCGGTTGCTTCCGATCATCCGACCGATTTTGGTCTGCCTATCCTCGCATTTTCGGTTTATCAGACGAGTTCGACGTCTCGCCATCTTCAAAAACATCAGAATCATCCAAACTGCAAATCAAGAAAGAATCTTTACATTAGCTTTTTACTAAACACAACCAAAAACGTAGATTTTACCTGTTCAAATATTAAGTTTTTAACAAACGAAAATATGTGTGGTGATTAGTGACCGCTAGTCGATGATTATTCGGAAATCGTGAGATGCTGTCTGGTGTGACGTAGGTTTCAGAAAAACATTTTTTTTTATCGTGCCAACGTTTCGATCTTTATTGAGCCCTGAAGATGATCTCAGAAAAGACCGAACGTGGGCGCGATAAAGAAAGTGTTTTTCTGAAACCTACATCATACCAGACCGCATCTCACGATTTCCGAATAATAATCGAAAATATGTTTTACACAGGTTTTTTTTAACGTTAATTACATAACGTTAACTTTAGAGTACCAACACAACTTTAGAGGCGTTAACTTGAGAAAGAAATGTTTTATACACATATATATATA